AGGCCAAAGGCAGGCAGACTGGGTGGCCTGAGCTGGCCCCCAGTGCCCTCAGCCCGACCGGCTGGCCTGAGCACTGACCCGCAGGCAGGCCGCTGAGGGTGGTGGGGCAGGCGGGGCCTGGAGAGGGCTGTGGGTACACACCCATTGCCTAATATCCCAAGCACGCGGCCAGCTCCAGGAAAGGGGAGGGGCGGGAACCAGAGAGACCTTGACAAGGGTTGGGGCCATGACTAGAGGGGAAAGTGAGGGGCTGTCATTACTTCAGGGAGGGAGTGGGAACAAGCTGATCCCCCTGCTCCTTGATGAGAAGAGTGGAGGGCTGCCTTCCCATCATAGGGATGGAGGGTGTAGCAGGATCTATCTGGGAAGGACACTGGGGCCCTGGAGGGCGGGGGTCAAAAAAGAATGGGGGCCTCTGGAGATTGGGGGATCCAGCAACTGAGGCGGTGGCTAAAGCCAAGAGCAGCCTCGGAAACCTCCTTCTCCTCCTCCCGCTGTGTTTGCCTTGGCCCAGGGTCCCGAGTGAGTCATCTATTGCTGAGCCGCTGATAGGGGCGGCCAGGCCCGGGGAACCCAAATTATAGGCCCAGGAGGGATGGATGCGCCCGCAGTGGTGAGCTCAGCTGTGCTGCCCACCCTCCTCCTCTCACGCCTTCTGCTGCAGCACCGTAGGCCACCACCTGGAGGCACCAAAGGGCCCGAAGCCCAAAGGCGCTGGACTCTCAGGAAGCCCCCACAGTCAGCGGTTAGCGCCAAGAGTGGGTGGGATTACCTTACCCAGAACTTGTCCGCTTCTCTACCAGAGGCTGGTGCCTTCTCAGACCAAGGAGGTAGTGCCGCCTGCTGGTGCTTCAAAGGAAGGTAGGCTCCTCTGCCCACAAACTCAGCCCTGTTCCCCTGCTTCCTCCCCAGACACCAAGATTAAGGTAGAGCCCCTCTCCCCTCAGACATCTCTCTCCCCGGTTTCTATTCCAGAGGGCCGATTTGCTACTGATTTTATACTTCAAGCCTTTAAAATTCTCAGGGATCAAAAATGATACAAAGAAAAATAGCGCAGGGTAAAGGAGATAAGGGGATTTCATTTTATAGGGGGTGGGGAGTGAGAAAACAAACCTATGGAGATATCTGAGGAAGGGCATTTCAGAAGGCAGAAAAGCAAGTGCAAGGATCCTGAGACAGGAGCTTGTTTAGTATGTTCAAGGAATTAGCAAGGAAGCCAGGGTGGTGAGAGGGAGGAGCCCACCTGGGAGAGAGCAGTAGGCAATGCAATGAGAGGACAAGCTAGGAGCAGGGTCAGATCATAAAGGGCTTTGTAAGCTACTGTTAAGATTTTGCCTTTTTCTTTGAGTGAGATGGGGACTCACTGGAAAATTCTGAGCAGGGAAATTAAATAATCTGACATTTGTTTTAGAAAAAAATAGCTCTGGTTGCTGTGTGGAGAATAGACTGTGTGTGTGGAGAGGGGGCAAGGGTAGAAGAGTACGCACACACACACACAGCCACTACTGTGCACCGTCCGGCCCATAAGCACAAACTACCATGGTAGCAGTAGGGTGGTAAGAATGGATTAGATTCTGCATATATTTTGAAGACAGAAGGACAGGATTTGTTGATTGATTTGAAGTTCAGTATAAGAAAACAGATGAGTCAAAGATAACTTTAAATTTTTTTTTTCGTGAGCAACTAAAGGAAGGATGGAGTTGCCATTTACTGAGATGAGGATGACTGATGACAGAGCAGGTTAGGGCAAGGGAAGAATCAGGAGTTCAAGTTTTGAGCATGTGCCTTTTTGAGATGCTTATTCAATTGTTAGATGTGCAAGTTCAGAGGGTCCAGAGATATAAATTAGGGAGCATGAGACTAGAGAGTTCACCAAAGGAGTGAGTGTAGACTGAGAAGAGGTTCCCAATTGAGTTGGGGTACAGTCCAAATATAGTTTAGAAATTGGTACACAAGGTGGGACCAGATAAGGAGACTGAGAAGGTGAGCAGCCCAGGAGGTAGGAATGGTGTTCCAGAATATTTCAAAAAGGAGGGTGCTGCTCCTGAAAGGTTAGTCAAGATGAGCCCTGAGAGTTGACTATAGAGCAACAAGGAGGTCAGGGATGGTTTTGATAGGAGGAGGAGCAGGTTCGAAGGTCTGATTAGGGTGGAAAGAGAGAATAAAGAAAAGAAGTTGGTGTTAGTGATTAAGGTAAACCTTTTGAGTTTTGCTGTAAAAGCAAACAGACAAATGAGGCAATCTTGGGTGGCAGTGTGGAGTCAAATAAGTTTTGGGGTTTTTAGATGGGAGATACTACAGCACATTTATATGCTGGTGACTGTGATCCAGTAGAGAGATAAGTTGATGATACAGGAAAGAAACAGAGAACGATGGACAGAGTGATGATCTGATCCAAATAGAAATTTGGGCCAGGTCATCCATAATGTGACCCAGACCTGGAGCCCTCCTGCTCTTCCCTCCTATTCCTGGTGGGTGGAATACTGGCTTCTTCTTTCCTCTCTTTCCACCTGGGCTTGTCACCAGTGGTCACAGACAGGGTTTCCCTTTCTGTTGGCCCACCTCCCACCTCCATTGGGGTTTTATCAATCCACCGGGCCAAAAGACTTGACCCAGGCCCCAGTGAGGAGAAACTCCTAAAAGATAAAGCTGCCCATGGTACATTGTCTATTTACTTGAGCCATCTGTGCTGGGTGCCCTCTGCAGAAACTACTGGTTTTTGGACCCTCAGAGAATGCTGGGCCAGTACACATGGTCCCTCAGGGTTGAATCCTTAGAGGAGCCAGGTACACTGTACTGGGGAAAGGGCTTGGAAGAACAACCCCCTCAAAAGTAACCTCCATTAGGCTTCATTTAGGTTAATACATATCTCATTTAAAATGCAAATGCCCCAGGAAGATCAATTAAACTTATCAGGCATTTATTCCTTAGAGTGATTTCCCTGCTTTGGAGGGGAAGCCTGGTCATTTCTAGGACTTGGAACTCTTTAGATACATTACTCAGTGAGAAAGCATCCTAAAGGCAAAAGACATGAAAAAGAGAGCATCCAAAAGGGAGGCAGGAATCACAATCACTAGCAGCCGGTCAGGTGAAAAAGGCCTGGGCTTTGAGTCAAAACAGCCTGGGTTTCAGCCTGGCTCTATCATTTCATCACTTATCAGCTGTGTGGACCTTGGACAGCTACCTAATCTAATGTTTCCTCTGTAACACAGGAGGGGATCCTCCCTCCTGCCAGGGGCCAGCGGTGTGTGCTGAGGGGACATGATAACTAGGCTGGCAGTGCCCCCCATGCCCTGTATAGGAAACAGCAGCCACTTCTTCAATAGAAGGCCAACGTGGTCTTGAACCTGAATTGGAGTCCCTGGGAGGGGAGAGAAAAGTGTACAACAGAAGCGTCTCCCAGCCTGGTTAGAGTGGAAAGAACCAGAGTTTGGGGGCAAGACAGAAACTTGGCAGAAAAATCCAAAAATAATCAAAACATGGAAGCACAAGTTTCCTATTCTGGGTTCACTTTAGCCAGCGGCCCTTCTCTTCCCAGTCCTCCCCCACCACACATACACCTGACATCTATTCCATTGCCCTTCCTCCCAAGCCTAGTTCTCAGAGACTCAGACACTCCAGGCCTTGTTCATCTTGACACTACCTTGGTTGCTGGCTCAGACCTCTCCCCCAGTGACATGCACAGCTTGACACATACCACAGGATGACACACCATTGGATGACACAAGGTACACAGGGCAAGAGTGACACATATATGCACATTTAATCTCCCCATGCACACATTCATCCACCCATTCACCCACCTCCACACACAGTCCCAGACACTCTCTATTCCTCAGTCAACTGGGTCTCTCCTGACAGTAATTGCCACCTCCTTCCTGACACATAGAAGATGGTACACTGCCCCAGGTGGTGGCTGTGACAAGATGACTTGATGATCCCTCTGACCTGAGTCAAATCCCAAAATTCTTTAGAAAGGCTTCTAACATCCCTCCTTAAACCGGGGAGTTTCTGTACGTGAAAACACACATGAGTGTGTACACTCAGAACACATTCGTGTGCATTCTCACACGCATTCACTTCTGCATTGTCCCACTTACACACACACACACACACACACACACACACAGCCACTAGTGTGCACCTTCCGGCCCATAAACACAAACTACCGCTTCTTCAGGTTTCTCTTCATGGCCAAGCTCTGTTTAGTCAGCTCGCCCCCAACCCACCACCGGGGATTTCCCTGACCACAGCCCCACCTCCACCTCCAGTCTCCCCCTTTTCCTTCCCTACCGAGCCAGAGCCATCGGGGGTTCCTGGGAGGGAAGGCGTCTCCCCAGAGTCGCTGCCCAGAACCACAGCTTTTCTTCCTCCACTTAGGATGGGGGAGAGAGGGGACACCCGCGAAGCCTGGGGTGACGTCGAGGGGACAGCCCCAGGGCAGGCGGCAATAGCGGCCGGTTCGGTGGATTCTCAGGGAAAATCCAGAGAGCACATTGTCGCTGCGCCCCCTGGCGGACGCTGGCCCCCGACGGGCTCCCGACGCCAACGGGAGAGAGGCAGGCGGGCGGGCGCGCGTGGGAGGGCGCCCTAAGGGGAGGGGTCGACGGCCAGTGCAGGCCCGGAGGCGGGAGCCACCGGGCAGGGGGCGGGGGTGAGCCCCGACGGCCAGCCCGTCAGCTTTGGGCTCAGACGGGCGGGAGCCAAGGCCCCGCTCGCTGCCCATTGTCTGTGCGTGCCCCTGACCAGTGCGCCCTGGTGCCACAGTGCGGCCCGGCGGGGCAGCCTCCTATCGTCACTTCAGCCAGTGCCGCAACTATAAGAGGCGGTGCCGCCCGCCCCGCCGTGGCTGCCTCAGCCCACCAGCTGGGACCGCGAGCCATGCTGCCCCGCCGCCCCGCCCCCAGGGCTGTTAGAGCCAGACTGCGAACTCTCAACGCCGCCGCCACCGCCGCATCCCGTCCCACCGTCGCGGGCAGCAGCCAAAGCCGCCCCAACTGCAACACAGAGCGGGCAAGGCCAGGCAGGCCATGGGGCACTGGGCGCTGCTGCCCGGCTGGGTTTCTGCTACACTGTTGCTGGCGCTGGCCGCTCTGCCTGCAGCTCTGGCCGCCAACAGCAGTGGCCGATGGTGGTAAGTGAGCTGGTGCGGGGTCGCCACTTGTCTGGGGCGCAGAGCCAGGGGCCAGCCCTATCCAGCTCCCACGCTCTGGGATCCGTCCGCAGACAGGCTCCCTCCAGCGCCCGGACTTCCCTGCGAGACGCCGAGGGGCGCTCTGGAGCGGAGTTTGCTCCAGAGAATCAAGCTCTGCTGAAGCGGGGTGAATGGTCCGGCCACGGCAGTCCACGATATTCCAGATGGAGCCCACTCCCTTCTAGCACCGCCCTCCTTCCATGCGCCCCAAACCCAGGCTTACTTTACGGTGGCAGCCACGCCACAGGTTTGCCTGCGTCAGGAAGTGAAAGGCCAGGCGTGCTTAGAAAGGAGACGAGAAGAGGGTGGGACTCCTGAGCATTTCACGCCTTGGGTGGGCATGGATTGCAGGCCAGCATTTCTTCGCCAGGCTGCCCGGAACATGCTCTGAGAGTCAAGGTGGACATCTATTTTCCGGGTTCCCCATGCTTCCCCTGTCCAGTCACCACACCCAGGGCCCCTAGCACCCCTAGAACTCTCGGTCTCACAAAAGTCTGGACGACCAGTCCTTTCAATCTAGCGAGCCCAGGAGAGCAGAGTCATTACCTTGTTATTGATCTCCCGCCGCTCTTTCCCCGACAAATAGCTCCAGAA